TTTGCTACGAAATGCGAGCTTGATAAACTTGTGCGTAGTGTTTAATGTTGATCGAAAATGTGAGGTAAAAGAAAAAGGAAGGAAATGGGGAATTTTTGGAAACCCAAACTATCTCTTCACATTCATGACTAAACGAAGACTTTTACGTTTGTTCAAATAGGTAATTTACAAATGGCTGAAATATTTATTGCCAGCTTAACCAACCAGTTACGCTCCTAACTCATGGAGTGATCTGCGGCTAGCCACCACACATGGCTCGCAAACCAGAGTGAACTACATGGGGGATGAAGCTAAAGCCAACACAACTCCTCTTCAGGTGATATGTTTAAAGAATAAATGCCATGAAAACAGACTCTTAAATATAGGACTGTTCTCTCTTCGACTTATTAGGAATTGCCTAATTTCAATGTGAGCTCAGACAATGTCACCACAGCTCATTTGTTTGAGGGCTTCAAAGGAACACCTGACAAGCACATACAGACAAATGGGTTATCATCTCCTTCTCCAACTGGCTGTGAGTGACGCATGTCATGTAACTTGTCTGCTCTTATCATCATCCATCTTCACTGAATTTATCTAGCTTCTTGTAATCTCTGTTTCCTTTTGTGTCCTTAAAACTCGATCCCCTCACATTTTATGCACTATTTATCAATCAACTTATACCTTCTATTTGGTTTCTGAAACATTTCTCGCCTCATTATCATTAGAATCTTGAATTGAAAATATGAAAGAAAGGAAAACGGAAAAATAAGGAGAATAGTTGGACATGTGCAAAAAGAGAAAGAATTTCAGAAAAACCATACGTAAGACGAATTGTAACAAGATGAAAAAAATGAAATGAAAATATCTATTCATATGCAGGATTACACGTATGTCTAAACAAAATATAGCGGCAACAGAAACAAAGTATAGAGTGAACGACAAGAGTTCGGTGATTATGTTTTAGGAGGTCTGTGGTGGTGTCTCGTTCTCTGAGCTGGTTGTTTTTGTTGTGAATCTTTCATTGTTCTTCTGAACAACATCATCAGCAAAAACTTCAACCACAGTAGCAACAATCCAAGAACCCACAAAATCAACTGCATACAAACGTTGTTCAAGACACACTGCAGCACACATGTCTCAACATTAAAAAACGAGGAAAAACATTTTATGACTATCTTCCGAAAAACGGCTACCCACTCAACTTCATCAAAAAACATCGACCAAAACAGTCAACAGAACTTAAATCATGTACAGGAACCAATAAACGGATCATCTCACCATACATAAAAGACATATCGGAACACACAGCACGATTACTGAAACCATTTGGAATAGGTGTGGCACACAAACCAACAGAATCACCTCAATCAACCCTAGGTAGACAAAAAGGACAAGATGACAAAGGAAGAAAAGCCAAATACCATCTACAAAATAAATTGCTCAAACTGTGAAAAACACTACATAAGACAAAGTGGACGTTCTCTCCAGCTTCGTTTACGTGAACACCAATTAGCAGTCAAAGGCCACGACAACTCTTCGCTTATATCAATACATACCGACAACTATGGACATACATTCGATTGGGACAATGTGGAAATACGGGATAGGGGGAGGACAAAGTACACTAGAGAATTTTTAGAAACTTGGCACTCAGGTAAATCAGCAATCAATAAACACATCGACATTGACCCAATTTATCAGCCAATCAGAAAAATCATAGGTGACATAGGATCAAGAAACAGATCAAAAAGGGGATACAATCAAAACAAATGTGCAAACAACGACAGGTTTAAGGTCAGCAGCAACCAATCAAGATCGAGGTTAGCAGAACAAGCTACAGGTCAAACGTGGAGAAATTCGAATGCTTCACTTCTATCTGAAGTTTGTGCTGATGATGCTGTTCATAAGGACAATGAAAGCTTCACAACAAAAACAACTAGCTCAGAGAACGAAACACCACCACAATCATCCACCTGAGCTAGAAGTTTGCTGCACCATCTCAAAATTAGGAGGTTTATATGGAGAATGCCTAATGGTGACCTCTCTAGCATTCAAACAACGCCTACATTTATTAATAGATCGGAGATATATGTATTCCTATCAAACTGAAATAGGCTTGGTGATGGTGATTTTTCGTTCACCTCACCACACTAAAAAAGAAAAGAAGGTGTTTGTTATCTCGCAGTTCAGAATTCAAAGTTCTATTTATATTGACGCGCAAACTCCAGGTGATTCGTTTTCTTGTCGTTAAAGTTGAGAGAACGGTTGAAATATCAACAAGAGCTGACCGTCCGTTCATGTATCCGTTAGACAGAATGAGACTTAGGGAAAAGTGATTAATTCTATTCATTAACCAATTTAATCAATCCTGTTAGCAAAATAACATCAACAAGCCTGCCAGGAAGTATGATTCCAATTATGCATCATGAAAAATGTTACTGGCTATTGAAGCGCCTACATTTATTAATGTATGCGAGATATATGTATTCTTATCCAAATGAAATTTGTTTCTATTTTAGATGAAAATCATTCACAGATTCTAAAATACTACCGAAATTTCATGTTCAAGATAACAGGAAAGAATATTAAAATCTGAACTGCGAGATAGCAAATAACTTGCACCTAATGTTCAGTGTGGTTCGATGCTGGCAAATTCACCATTAGCTATTCTGCCTAACACATAATTCATAATACATAATCATCGAACCCATGTCGTTTGCTCTATACTCTGATTGTCTTGTCGCTTAATTCACACACGTTTCCTACATCCGCTAGCTCGCTAACCTAATATAATCGATATCTCATGAATAATCAAGATCATCTGTCCTGTCAAATAGACATCACTAGCTGATCAACAGTTTCAGGAGAGTGAATCCTCTGCGTCCTATTATTCGATATCTGCTACTCCTAGTAATCCAATAACTTTGTGCAAGTTGCGAATGACTTTGTTGCAGGAGCAACTAGTCAGTCGAAGTTGAGTATTTTTTGCGTCGGTTGAACGTTTTAGACTAATTGCAATCAATATTGCTTCAAACTTGTATCGAAATTTCGTAGCCTAAGCGAATAAGTGTGACATGGACACTAACGATTGTTGAACATGTCAAGTAAAAACACAAAGCAATTATGGTATTTCGTTGAATATCTTTCCTCAAAGGCTATCTAATGTACTTCAGATGAAATATGGTCATATGTGATAGACTCGATATGAAATGGAAATGATTGTTCAGTGATACAATTTGAACAAATTTCAGCAGTCTAAGGAATTTTCCACAGAACAATGAGACTTTTGGTATTTGTATGTTTATCATTGTCTGATTCTCAAGCCAAATTGATTTCTTTAATTACAGGGTCAAAATACTTATGTGAGTCTTGTTTCTTTTGATCATACAAATGTGTACGATAACCAATTAGGCAGAAGTAAATAACAAACCTTGTGAAACTGTCTAATGTGTATATTTTGTATTAGGTCTAATTGGTATTGAGCTCTTTTTGCAAATGTTTCATCATATTTACACCCACTCTCAACTCGGTTGTCTTTCTCTGTATCTCCGATACAGTATGTGTTGGTGTGTCTCCGATAAAATGCGTGATAATATGAACATCATCCGGATTTCATTAAAATTCTGATTGACTGAATGACTGTTAGATTAACTGAACAGGAATGTGTAGTTCCACTGAATTTCAACTGAATTTATTTTCATTATATTTCTCCGAGTGTTTTACTAATCGTAAATGTTGGTAGTTTCCGTGGGTATTACTCCTCAATGCACCTAGTACACTGTACAATTCCTGCTTTGTGGAATGTGTGTCATTGCATTGAAGCAAGTGGTGTTCCCTGATTGCAGGCGAGAAGATTCACTTTCCTATTACCCGGTTTACACACATATATCCTACACATATTGTCTACTACGCATAACATTTTTACTATGTATGATTTTCCTCTTAACGCTACTCCGCTAACCTCTCATTTGCTGAGAATATTCACCACTAGCTGTGACCAGATCACAGAATATATCTTTATCTAGCGAGTTTGCAGGTTTATTCAACCAGTGTTATCCTCTTTTGGTAGCTATTGAGAGCTCAACTTTTTCCACAAGGTGATAGTTCGACACCTGTTCATCAATGACGCTGACGTTATAATGTTGAGCGAATTGTAATACCTGAACACCCACATTCAGATATTCACATCATTTCTTGCGTGTACCTGTCAATGTGAGACACTTCTTCATTCAACTCAGCAGCCTGACTAGCGTCCTCCAACTACTTCACACACTGTTCACAGCTAAATATTCTTTCTCTACCTATTACCGACTTATTCTTTATTAACTAACAGTTGCTTTAAGCCACATCATTGATGTACAACATTTAGACAAACTGGAAGTGATTGATGCCCAACTCTCCCATTTCCATTCACCTTCAATCGGAAAGCAAATGCGGATGTCCTTATACGTTACGTAAATCAAAATATTCTGCAAATATCTCTGTCGCGCTTAGGAATATTCCGATTCATTGCGTAGAGAAGAGATAATATACACTGGTTTCCGACCGCTCCAGTAGGTATATGAGTTCATTTTGATGAGAACATTTCACTGTGGATACTTAAGTACTTAATTGCTCACGCCTGTCACCTCTCATGGAGTGTGAGCCACCAACCACGACTGTCCAACCAACTATGTGCAAGACTTTCCTTTCCAGTTCCTGTCAAGCGCTATGTGCTCAGTGTCGTTCCTCGAACGGCGATTAATCAAGTCTCGTCTTGTGATGCTCGACTCGCACCTTACAGACTAACGTTTCGGATTTCATCGTTTTCTATTAACAGTATGAGATCACTATGGTTTCCCGATGACACCTCAAATTGTCATTGTAGGATAATTCATGGTCTTGTTTTCAAACAATGGTAATTTGCTGGCTAGCTTTTACCCATCATTATGGAATAAAAATACGATTCAACATCGAGCCGCAGCACTCTTTTTTATTATCAAATAAACAAGTAATAATTTAAAAATGTTAACATTATCTGAATTTGTTTATATTTCTATTTAGAAGTGTTGGAATCTGATCCCGGATCTTGATATAAAAATACAAATACACACTATTCGTAGGATTGAAACATTCACTGATTTATTGTCTTGATTTAATTAGGAAAATAGTCGGTGCTATTATTATCGCCGCCGATATTGCCGTATTCGTAATATTATCTGTAAGTAGGCTGGTACCTGTGAAGGCATTTTGTGAGAGACATATTAAACCAGAAACTGCACTACTGATACCATTCAATGTGCCGAAATAACGTATAGGGAATGCAGACAAAAGAAAGCTTATAAAACAACTGAAGATAAGTGATCTCAGCATAACAAAGATTACAAACGATGCGTAAGACGCTATGTAATGAGGTATGAACATTGTTGCACTCAAAGCAACAGCAACAAAGCCCAAAAGAATTTGTCCAGGGACTAGGCCAAGTGTCAGAGTATAGTAGATTTTATCAATACTCACTGAATCACGTCCGGTAGTGAGCATATTTTTAATGCTTGTGCGAGATCTTTTAAGAAAGAAGTCAATCATAAGACCAGTAGCTGGTGACAGTAAGAAACTGCACATGAAGAACAGTGAAGAGGTAGATAATAATTGCTTAACAAGTTCACTATTACCAGCGTACATAGTATTTAAATGTTTTGATAAGTGACTTAAATAAAATGAGAAACGAAACAAACCCAAAGTGAACCAAATATTAATCAGTAAATATGGTAAGGAAAATATAGCACTGGTCAAAGATGGGTAGCGTTTATCCAATACGGAAGATATTTCGCCGTGGACATCCAATTCACCCGAACTTTCTACTGAGATTTTCTGTTACAAACAAAGATAAGAAAGATGAGCAGTGCTAAACAACAATTTTGGATAGAATTATATATTCACATCTGCACTAAACACTAAAGTTTACTTCAAGTTATAGACTATGCATTTCTGTCGACTTCAGTGGATAATGACAAGATCGGACACGGACGGTCCCATGTCTCATCATATTAAGACTGAATGTGGAACTGCCAGGGATCACCAAACTCCGAAGTACAGATCTAGTGAGGTCCTTGCATTGATGGGACTGGTATTCCATGTTTATAATTGTGAATTTCGGCAAAGCGTCCTTAAGTTGCACTGCAACTCCAAGTCCACACCCGATGGAAGTGCAAGCGGATCGCATACAACTGGTTGATGTAGCTCATTTCAGACAGACGTGGTCTGTGTAGAATCTGTGATTCAATTATTGTACAGCTTAGGTACCGAGTCACCATTTGTCTGAATATGTTACATGCTTGCATAGTTTACTGTTCTGTTGATTTCTACATCTCGTCATCTTGACTTGCAATGGTTGCGTTATGGACAGTCTTCACAGCAATTGTGATAATGAGCTTGGTCCTTCTTCGTAAACTGTAGCGCACCAATCCATGGACATATCGCGTTTCATTTCACCTAGGAATGCTAGTGTCTGGCAGTGCATAACAAGTTTGAATTTAATCTACAAAGCATACTTGTGTGGCGACAAAACTGAGACAGCAATTCTAAGTGTAATTGTGGTATGATGTTCTACATTGCTTCTCTTAGCGTGTGGACATCAATCGTAAATATCTTATCACACATCTGTGCACGGCAGACACCATTAGCAACTTGCAAAACTTCATCGATTACGGGTAACTTTTCAAGCTACTTATGCTTAGGCCGGTCGCCACAGACACAAATAACTGTGTTTCTGTCCGTAAATACAACTATAGTTGACAATCACTTACCTCACACAGATTTTCATCTTCCTTGTTGAGTGACGAGAATTTTCCCATGTCTTCGGATTTCTGAGTAAGGATAAATAGTGCTATGAATGTGCCAACAACTACTGAGCCGGAAGCCAAGATGAGAAACGACCATTTGAATGGGAAATACTCGTAGGTCAACCCAATAACAAAAGCTATAACTGTACTCGAGTCATATGCTCCAGACAAAAGCGATATGCATAGACCGCGAAACTGTGGGAACATAGAACTGACTTGATGATTGCATATCAAGCTGCATATGCTACCTAAGGCAACAAGTATACCACCAGCGTAGAAGAGAGGCACTGTTTGACCAGTTGTAAACGCGAACATTGCGTTCCCGGCAGAGTACATCACAACTGCCATTAGTTTTGAAACTCTCAGCCCCACCTTATCCATCAGTGCACCAGCAAGTACAATAAGGCACATTTGTGATACTACCCAAACAAGGAAAACACCTCCGAACATATGTTCATAATATTCGCATGTTCTATTCGGCGTGCAGTTGTAAGCGAACACCTCAACTGATTTGAAGGTGGCAATGAGAGAATTGAAACCGTAATGAAAACCACCAAAAACGAAAACATCGAAAATTGCTATCACCAACCCGAACCAACGGCGAAATGTTGGCGGAAGGACGTTGTCAAATGTTTGGCCTGCAATAAAAAGCAATTAAGACAGATTTATAACAGTGATGTTGAATTTTAAATTTTATATACTCCATGATAGTGTATTTATTGGGGTTACAATCTAACCAGCAAGTCTTTGATAGATTTCCTGATGAACGAAAAAAACACTCATTGTGCACACAAACCTGACCTGGATCGATAAGGGTCGGCCGGTACAAACGAGCGACATTGATACAATGTTGACGATTTTTCAAAATGTTTACGAAGCATTCGGAGATCGGTGATAATGGCTCATATCATCTGAATATCGTTAACCGGTTATTAACTCATTATGTCGGAACTGGCACATGGATGTGTGCTGTTTACAATCGCCACACGAAATGAGGACAGAGGACGAGAATCTTCGGATAAACGTTAGAGCCGTGGAAGTAGTAACAGTGTCAGTGGCAGTGTGAAATATTCTATTGATGGAACCGAGATATTAAGAATGAACTCATGTAGCAGAAGGAAGATCTCAATGAATGATTGACCTGCATTACCACCTGATTTGCTTGTTTATGTTGTTGATTCATGCATGGTGGGGTAGAAAGTAGTGATATGTTTACAAATAACTGGTTGCTTTCTTTCGAAGTCACGTGAAGCAGAGCAAAGGTATTGTTGAAATATGCTATTAAAAATTTAGCATAACGATATCGGGAGAATAGTGGCGGAAGACACATGAGTAACACTGATGGTCGAGTGAGCTGAGTGATTTATTTCGGTCTGTTGGTGTAATTTTTAACAGAGCATAGAAAATTGATTTAGAAAGGATAGAAAATTGAAATCTCTCTCGTCACTAGGTAGAAAAAGATATGCAATATGGTACAAAATAATCGCAGTTAATGCAAAAACTGCTGAGTTTAATTCTTTTGCAGGTGAAATTATCGAAACGTGTATCGACTGATACTGATTTAGTTCATTTTATTATGATGTTATCAAGTCAAATAGATAGCATGTGTTTGTCAATGGTATGGCCTTTGAGACCACTAAATAATCGGACTTTGTAGGAGAAGAACTATGACTAACTATGCTTTGTATGCGTTTCTTAATTTCTAAATATTTTGTAGTAGTGAGTGGTATAATCAATGGAAAACCATAGTAACTTACAGAAACCCATTTTCCACGACTCAAGATAGTTCGCTTAGGGTTTTCGTGTTATTTATACTATTAGCATGCTTAAACAACTTAGTGTCAACCTTTGTGCAGCTGAATGTCCAATAACTGCGAGTCTATCAAGTAATTACAATTATTTGTTTTATTGTAGTCTTGCTAGCAAGTGATGGCTCAAAGTTATTATGTCGTGTTCAGCTGAGTTTGATCAACTGCTAGGCTGGGGTAACCAGAACGACAGATAGTTTGGCTCATTTATAATTTACTTTGTCATTCATATTTCCTTTGCTCTCAACTATATTTCACACTACGCACTGAAATTACAGGGAGGAATGGCTGTCTCATCACCGAGCAGCTGTTCAAGTAGTTATAATCACTCAATATATCAGGTGACGTTTGGATATTCCGAAATAATTTTGTCATACATTGGAGTTTTGAATAATGAATTTCGATGCTTGCCTACCGACGAGTTTCCAGTGAAGCCTGTGTCTCCAGTCAGTATACTGAATCTCTCAAACGATGCCTTCGTTGGAATGTTCGGCTGTACTAAACAGCTAGGAGATCACCTCTCGTCCTTCGGTAAGCGAAATCACTGCTAATTCTTTAAACCTGGATCGCATAGATTTCTCACCTTGGATAATTTATCCATCTTCTGTTAAAACGTACACATATTGACCGACAAGAAACCACTGGAATGTGTTTGTACCTTCCAAAACAAATAAGAATGGGTCTTGATGGCAAGAGTTAGAGAATTACAGATAAATCGTAAACTGGTAAACAAAGAATAAAGAGTTGATAGTTGAAACCTTGCATTTTCCTTAACAGCAACCAATTGGGATGCACAATGTCATGAAATTAAATCCACAAGCTCACTCAAAGTAATAAATACTACCAGAATACTTAGTTTGCAAAATATTAGGGTTTAGTTACAGATCAATCAAAGAACAGTTTGAAATTTAGTGTCAAGTCAAATAAATCTAAATATGAATATAAAGCAAATGAGTTCGTTGGAACATCACAGTCACTAATGTAATATCTGTCACCATTGTGCGTATGCAGCTATGCGAAATATTTGATAAGCCATATCACGATAAATTTGCTATGCTTCATGTTAGTTATATCCAGAACTAATTGTGGTTATGTCGTAGCTAACCATTCAAATTGTGGTTTAAGCGCCCACCATACGACACGCTATACTGGTCGGTATGTTTGATCGTTTCATATGGTTAACAGTTACCTCATTTTTTGTACTAATCTAATTGTTTTTATGTTTAGAAACCGATAAAGATTTAGCGAAAATTGGTTTTGTTCGGACTATAGCTTCCCCAAAGACTCTGTGCTCAGATACAGATGTACATCTGTATGACGAAATAAAAAATTCATTTCACCTCGGCTAGGAGACTAGTTCAAGTCACGACAACTCGCAATGAGAAAAAGTGTGCGCGAATCTGAGTATCCGCTCTCTGATGTGCAATCATTCGAGGATTGTTTTCAGGGGAGTGGTGGTGATGATCGGTATGTTGCTCACGTTGGGATGGTTTGGCGTGAATAATATGTTGTACGCCATAATCAGATCACCTCTTATTCTCCTGTAGCTCAGTGGAAATAATCCCAAGAGCTGTAGTCTATCGTCCGAAGCCTTATTTTTCAACACTATTAACCATTTGAGTACTCGTCTCTGCACTCGATCCAAGAGATTTATGTCACTTTTAAGGAGAGGTGGTGAAACATTTTTGTAAACCTCAAGATGATGTCATGCATATGTCCTTAACAACGTTAAGATCAATTCAGGGGTGATAGTACCAAGTTGTCTTCTTATAAAGTGAAGAGTTGCTTTTGCTTTAGCGGCACCCCCTACATAGTTCGAACTGCTGGAAAGGCTTTCACTGGTTATTAGACCAAGATCGCGGTCTGACGAGACATTGTGGTGAGGATTTACATTGTGGGTGTAAATCGTTTGCCTCATGTTGGACAGAATGTACATGACATGACACTGCAGTTGGTTTAGCTTTAAACCGTTTTTCACGGCCCATTCCTCAATTGATGTAAGGTCCTTTTGAAGCTCAGTTGAATCCTCTTCGCTTCTAATGAACCTCCTGATATTCCCATCGTCTGCGTAGATCAATGCCGGCGAATAAACTGTGTCTAACTGGTCGTTAACGAATATCAGATTGCCCCCTGTGAAACTCCCCTTGTGGATACTCATTTTACCTTGGTTCGAAACTTTATACACTCAAGGTAGTTTGTGAGCCAAGATAGGAGTGTGTCGGAGAAGCCCATTTCCACAACTTTTTCGATTAGGCGTGTGTGAGGAACTGTGTCTAAGGCTTTTGAAAAGTTGAGAAATATTACGTGCATCGGTATTTTACGGTTCAAACAAGATGTCCAACTGTCCCATGTGATGAGAAGATTAGATGCACACGACCTGCCTTTCGGAAACCCGTGTTGGGCTTCATGGAGTATTATATTCTTATCCATGTACTCCATCATTTGTTCATTCACTAGCCGTTCCATGACGTTTGATAATATTGGTAGTAATGAGACTGGTCTGTAACAGGCTGGGTCCTTTCTATCTCCTCCTTTGAAGATCGGAGAGAGGGTAGCTTGTTTCCATTCACCTGGGAGTTGGTGTGATTCCAGTGAATGCCTGGACAGGTCACATGTCGGTGAACAGAGGACTTCTGCACATTTTTTCAAAACTATGGGGCGAATTTAGTCACAACCTGGTGACTTATCTGGGCGTAAGGATTTTAGTTTCCTTAGTTCTAAGTCAGGAGTGATACGGATGTTCCCTAAGCCGTCACCTGGCGATGGGTTTGCATTGTACTCTGAACATGTGGGCGCCTGGTTTAACTGCTCAGTAAAGTTAGGTTTGAAGATCTTGGCCATCTCTAGGTTGGTGATGTCTTCCCCGTTTGGTCCTTTGATAGAACACAACCCTTGTTTAGTAGGTTTTCTTTTGGACATGAACCTAAACAGATGCTTCGGGTTTGCCTGTATTTTGGCAGCTTGATTCATCTGACATTGTATCCTATCACTTCAAACTTTGGTATTGCACCTGTCTCTGAATGCCAAGTACGAACTGCGATCGTAATCCTTCAAGGAGACCCTCCACTTGTGCCAGTTTCTCCTCTTCGCCTGTAGCAAGCGTTCAGTGCTGCGCCCAACCCAAGTTCTTCTATTCTCAGGTGTGTAGTGTGACTGAGGTACCCTGTCTACGACAGCCTTTTGGATGATATCTCTCACTGTTTGCCAGTGTCAGCCTCCACCACTTCCGTGGCCATGGGGCATGTAGGAGGACCTCCCTCACACGTGTATAGTTTGCCCTAATGTAGCAAAGACAGGGCTCGTTATCGCCCTTTGTGAGTGTTAAACATGTTAAACAAGACTGTGCCATGGTCACTACTACCTTTCGGTGTTCGCACCCAGGAGCTGGTCATTTGCTAACAGATAATCCAAATTTGAGGAATTCCCCTCTTTAGTCCATGTAGTGGCACTGCATACGTGCTCAGTAAGTCCAGAGCTTCTAATGGCTGTACTAAATTTTCTTTGGAACCAACCAGAGGGAGTTATACTCTGATTGCTGAAATTTAGAGATGGGGCATTGAAATCTCCAGCTTAGAGTATTTGGTAATACCCCAGGAGTGGCAGTTGAAGTATTACCTCAGTCAGTTTGTTTTTCTGTACCTAGTACCCGAGGGAGTTCGTTAAATCCCTACGATCAAGTACTTCGTGCCAATCGCGTGGAAACATCACGAACATGTTTCTGTCACCTCAGTTAGTTGGGTGCCGTATAGTCGCTCTGCTTTTAAGTGGCTGTTTATATATATAGCCAATCCGCCTCCGATTTGGTATACTCTATTGCTTCGGAAGAGTGTCATGCCTGGAAAGCTCACTTCTTCGTCTGAAATGTTAGGGGATAGCCACGTTTCAGTTAGGATTATGATCTTCAGATTCATCTGATATCTAACAGCTTACCACCAGTCCTCTTACGTTGCTATAAATGCACTTTGTGCGCTTCTGAAGCAGCAGCCGTAGTCCGATTTTCAAATAAGTTATTCAAACCGAGTTGACCAGTTCTTTGGGAACTGGCCTCTGCAGGTTTTTTGCCTGTGCAGTGAGTTCAAAACCTGCGACACCTAATGTGGCTAGACACATCGTTCTTCGAACTGTACCAAGCTTGAAGTGCCCCGGTCAGGTCTTCCTGGTTCCCAAATGTCACAGCCATCAGACGTGGTGACTTGATGGACTTAAGTTGTGACGGACGGGCAACCTAGAAATGCAAACAGCCATCGTGGTGTGAAGGGCTGGGCTATGCGATAGCCATAGACACTGTTGCACATCGTGCTCGTGAGCTTTGCCCAGGTTACCGTCAGCGAGTTCGGGTACGCCGTGAAGTACCATGGCGGGTTGCTCTTGTGTGCCTGGCGTAGTCCTGGCTGCCGCTCGTACCGACCACAGCTTGTCATGCCTGATACGAATTTGCGAAGAAACTTGACCGATGGTCTTATGAATGAAAGAATGACGTCTTCAGCAAGTCGTGCTGAGTCAAGAGTTACCCTCATTGGAGAGGGATTTCCTTTCAAGATATTTTGACCTTTGAAAAGGGAGCATATTTTAGCTGAGATGTTAAAAATTCCAAGGTTTGTGCAGTGTTTATCCCACTGCTCTTTGTCGGAGGTAGCCCTACCTTCTAGCAAGCCATCTTCCGATACTGGGACATTAAATAAAATAAGTGAGTTTGCTTTCGGCTCTTTAGATTGATGAGGCGACTAATCAGTAACACTGAGGTTGCTCTTATGCGCTTGCTACTTCTGAGGTTCATGTTTCCAAAACTATGCTGAGGTCGCTATTCTGTCAAGACACCCGCAACATTCTTACTCAGGCGCTTACAGTATGACTTAGAGGTTGGCATTCAATAATAATAATAATAATAAAACAGTTAGACGGTGCAAAATTTTAATCATCAATGTTTTCTTTTTACAAACTCTACTCTTTCGATTTCAACGTACATAAATCCAGCTTCTTACTTCGACTTCTCTT